GTGAACGATCAACTTATAAAGGCGGAAAAGGGAACGGGGCATTCTTTCCGCTGCAAAAGCTACAAAACGAAGTTAACGGTCATTTCTTTTAAGAGAAATATAATTTCACCCATAAGGATCAGTTTCCCAAAAACCAGTGAAGTCCATATGAAATATGGGTCTACTACAACGCCATTGAAGTTGAGAAACGCGAAAAATCGGAGGGGAACCTAAAAAGTCAGGACCCACCTGTGTACTTGCCTTTAAATCGCCCCTAATAACCCACAATTACCTCTGCCCCATTTCGAATAGAACAGGTCAAAATTGCCACCAGACGACCCTTTAAAGAATGAATCGTGCAGGATCAGCTCAAGAAGGTGGAAATGCGTCGTATGGTCCCGAAAATGAATCGATTCAACACCAAAACGAGATGAACTGCATGTTGGGAGATGGTCCCTAAAAAGCAACAACAAAATGGCAGGATCAATAGTCCAAGCGTGTGCGACCATTGCCAGACAGCATAACCACCCCACCCATGAGCAGCTGGAAGCATAACTGCACTGATGCTGCTAACTGGCCCCAATGTGGTGGTTGGGGCAGCAGGAAGCAGCATATCGATGTCCGCGTCCAGCGGCCTGACTGACTGCAACGTCAACTACATAATTAGCCCCATGCCATTCAACGTTTCATTTCAACCAAGTTTTGTAACGATTATGGCTATGGAAAAGAGTTTCAACGATTTACGGACATGGGGGAGGGGGCACTCTCGTTCGGAAAGCCAAAAATCTCGGGTAATCGGAAACTGGTCTCTACGAGGTCGCCGGGATGTGCAGGGAAGGGTTCGATCCTGTTGCACTTTAAGGACAACGTCTAAAGACGATTTGCACGCCGTCTGAGGAGGGTGCATTGGGGTAGATAGGGTCAAAACCAGTCCGATAACCCGGAACTTGATAAACGTTTGCATTGAATGGAGCAGTGTAACGAAACTGCATTACAGCCTGGGCATGCCTGGCTTTGTCTTGCGCCTCATTTCTATTGGAAATGCATGCAAATCAAGCTCCACATGTGAATTGAATACGTTTTTGTGAGGTATTACTCACAAGTCACATGCTGCCCGCCTTCTGCGAGAATTCACTCAATTCATAGAACGTTCCCATTGACGCCCACACCCACGTAGTAGCTACTCAGAGCATACATCACTCATTGTAAGAGACATACTTGGATCACATGGATTTCAGCGGAACAGCGTACGTGCACCTTCCCACATCCCTTTTGTTGGACGTGAACTATGAAGATGGTAGGCATTGTCGAGAAATATTTGAAAAAAGTTGTCCAACGTCAAGAACGAGGGGAAGACATCTTCCGCGTGGTGCTTCTTCATTAGAAGATTAACTCATTCCATCATGAACATGCATAGTGAGAATCCCATTGAAATAGGGCGTCCCTCATATCAAATGCAACCTAACCAGTAGTGTTCTCATCGAACTATAGTACACCAGAACTCATTCACGATATTCCATCCAATGACAACAAAGTGCTTACTTAGTACTTTTTCCGGAGTACAGTTGTGCGGTGCAAATCCATAAATTATTCGCTTCAGCCCTCAGCGCCAGACAGAAAACGCAATTCTGTTTGGACGTCTTTTGGCCCGAGGCACTTTTGCATATTCGTTTCCACTGAAACAGCTCCGAAGGGACGACGGATGGTGTCGTTCTAGAGGTGCACGATTAAAAATGCATTACACGATTCAGCCAGATGGATCTGCTTAACATGTAGTTCTGCAAATTAGTGTCCTCATGGTCTCGAATGCCAATTGGGCAACAGCCATTCAAGGGAGCACCATGTAGCCCGTCTCAGGATTAGGTTGCCCAGTTTTCTACTGTTTCCATGACAGACATGTTTGATTTGATATTCAGCCAATTTCATTGGGACGGCGTATTGAAATGAGGACAGCTACCGGTATTGCCAGCTCTACCTATTATTTCTGACAGTGTCCGATGACAAAGTTGCTGATAAAGTCTTGGGGCGTTAATCATCCCGTTCGAGTGATGCGCATCCTACATCTGAATTCCATTCAGAATCGTACGAGGTATGGAAGGCTTGGTAGGCCCAGGCGAACATCGGGGATTTGAACCCATGACCGTATGTGTGATATAGTGCGCCACTTACCGCCACGCCACCAAATCGTCTCAATCAAACTTTTCAGCGCTCGACTGAAAAGAGATGTTTGATTCAATTATCTTATGATGTTCCAGGTAGCTTAGTGAGAGGCAGTTGAGTGCTTAGTGCCGACAATAAAAAAACCATTAAACATGGCCATAAAAAGGCCGACATATAGAAGACAACATCGAAAGCTTGTCGAGAGACTTTTGATGTCGTTGTGTGCCAGAAGAACGTCGTTAAAACGACATTGTTGATCGTAAACTCTCGTCGAAAGTCATGATCCACTGGACAAGCACAAAGCAGCTGCCACATTATGGATGGGGTTGTTTCGGGTTTTCGAACAGCCTTCGAATTCTCATATTCAAACAAAAAACACGCTCCGGAAGTAGGAAGTCATTGCCAAAGTCCCACTTTCAACACATTCAAGGGGGGAGGGCAGTTTGAGCTTTGCACTGATAGAGAAAGTTGCCTTCCTTTTGGGAATCGCACAAACCCACAAAAATACCCAAAAGTCGAAATATATGGGAAACTACATTCTTACTCGTCTCAACTCCGCCCCACCCTACTACTATACTCATTACCCCGACCGTGTTGGCAGTTTCCTGGACATTCTTCCCACTGTAACGACGAATGTAGCCATTTATGAGCCCACTACACTCAATGCACTCTTAGGACGGTGATTGTTGAAGAATGGGTGCTACTTATTTCTCATTGCCTTTCTATGAAGTCACCACAACAAATTCAGCCGAAGCGATGCTCACATTCCGAATGATCTCCCTGAACTTGCCTCGTGAGCGAACAACAACAACCCTTTTCTGGTAAACTCACGATTCCTGAGCCGAGCAGAGATTAAATGGGATGTGGTTGAACTAAAAACATTCGCTGCTTCCACTCTGCTGAATTTGGCCCAAACCTACTCTTCAACGACCACTGTCCTAAGAGTACATGGAGGGCAATCGGCTCATATATTACCACATCCGCCGTCCTCGTCGGTATCGTCGTCAACAACGTCGGCACAACGTTAACAATGTATGACAGGAAACCTAACTATTGAGAATGAACCAAACACCTTAGCGGATGTTATGAATAACAGATGGAACCGACATTTACAATGATTCGCTCAGGTCTGCATGTCTGATAAGTTGAAAAGCCGTTCCGCCTAGAATACCTAGAGTTCAGGCCTCCTCGGCCGACTACGTCTCAGACGAGCACATGGCTTATCCAGATCTTTGTAGCCTATCATACAGCTACGTCAAGGATCAAGAGTACTGTTTAGAATCGATCCCCATTGAAAACTCATACGATTATAGCAATAAACCAATCTACAAGCCGATAAAAGGTAACAGAAGGTAGAAAGAGGTAACAGCACCCACTCTTTCCGACTCGTTGAAGCAGTGAAGACTAATGAATACTCAATTCCTGCTCAATCTGGAAGTACGGTCATGTTCGGGAAATGGAGTAGGGGACAGGAGGAGATATTAAAGTTTACTCTCTACTCCACTGGATACCAACAAGTATGAACTTCCCGGTGAATGGCAAAGCAAGATCATGAAGAAAAGAAGAGCGCGATCGTACGAATACTTGTGAGAGTACCCTTATCATGAAAAGGCAGCTTCGCATTTTTATAGACCCTTATTCAAATAAACAAAGCTGATTAAGTATTCAATACTTCTTCACCAGTAAGTAACCTTTTAGGGAGTAATAACTTTTTGCCCGGAAGTTCTAGCTAATCCAATATTATGTCACTGAGTCGAATGCTCTCTTAGAGGCCGATGAAAAACCAGCTCAGATTCGCCGGTTGAGCCGGATTACTTGGAGAGTCGGGTGGTCGAGGAATTACGGAGCCTTCATATTGCTCATAATAGGCAGATCCTCTTGGGTAATCAACTCTTCCCATTACGATAATTGTTGAAATACTTTCCAAAAAGAAGCTATAATCGTAATGCCGTAAGCGAACCGTAGTAATGTAGTACATTGAAGTACATCAGCAAATGAGTAACTGGAAATGCTCAAAAGGACAGCAACAGTTAGTTTTTCAGTAAAGATTTCTACGAATATGTGCCAACTGAGACTTCAAGGTAGTCGAGAATTGCCAAGAAAATAAAATTAATTCAAAACCCTCTGAGTGAATCATAATAATGGGTTGGTATCATGACAACATTACAATATACCAGAATCGGAAGATAATAAAGCATAATTGTAGGATACATTGATGGGTAGAGATACTACTTTGTCATTCCTGAGGGCTCCCACCTGATGCAATAGGCTTTTATGCCATTACAACCAGAAAAAAGTGTCCCTTTGTCAGGTGACAGACTCATTTCGAAGACAGTCGAACTATGTTTCTCCACGACAGTCCATGACGTATAGCTGAATATGATAAGATAATGACTTCCGCTTATCGAATCATATTCCAGATACAAAAAAAACTGTCTGGAATGTAATTGTGATAAAAATAGCAATCAAGCATTACTCACGATGGAAAACGAATTAAAAAGAAGGCTGACTGCCCAGAGGACTGACCTACAACTATCATTTGATGCCTATCGTTTAAGCGAATGGTCAGGAGACTTCCTAACAAGTAGATTGAGTTTTGAAAGCTGAATTTGATCGACAAATCCGGCTATCAAAACCAAACAAGGAAATAGGGGTGTAGTGCAGTAGGAACGACATTGTCACGTCGCGGCGAGAGAGACGCCGCGCGCGAAGGAACGTAGCAGAATGCAGCAGCAAGTAAGAAATAGAGAAACAAAAGAACTCACAGTAAAATTATGATAAAAGTAATAATCGCGTAGCGATTGAGCTGTGTGGAGAACGCTGGAACTATTGTGACGGGGCAAAAGGTCCGCGACAGCCGCGTGCGGCGGATCGATTACACAAAACTGTTCCTATTGCCCGCCTACCGGAAATAGGTAGTCACGATTTATCATGGCCGTAAGTGGGTAATGAGAAGTGATTGGAACTGATTCTGAATCATTTGGAGCTACATGGTTAGCTCCTAGCAGAGCATCTAAATGCAGAACTCAGAAATACATATAAAACCTCTTTAATCAAGTGGTTACCTTTCAAGGTGATTACCTTGAATCCTTTATTCCCAGAGAAACCGTCATCAGAAAAAAGGACCACTTACAACACAGCCGTAGCTCCCGTTTGTAGACCAAAGGTGTCCGCCCTGTATGGCAGAATTCCTCCACTGTTACGCTTTTCTGCACGTTCCGAACCTGGCTTGCTCAGGAAAAACCCTCAAGTCTCACAAGCAGGTTGGCTAGAGGAGATCGGAAAAAAGAGCTCCTTGAACTAATACGTCGTGACATACGCCCGAGAAGGGGCAATTTTAGGTTCTAATGAAAAACGGACAATCTAAACAGGGGAAAACCCAACAAGCGAATCCTGTTGGACGGGTCGGGAACAGGATCACCTTCATATTAGGGACACCGCT